TTGGCCCTCCATATAACTAGAACCAGACCTATTCTGCCCTGATTTTTGTTTGGGTCTTGGTTCAAACTCAAAACACAATCTACGTCCATAACTTGTCGTTTTATATCGAAATTTGACACCGTTCAAACCGGTAGTTCACGGTTTTAATCCTCATCGATACTACCATGGAAATTGACGAATTAAACCAAGGGCAAAATATTTATTTTGACATTTTAAAAGAGTGGGGTGTAACATTTCCTCCGCCCTTATAAAAATTTCGTCCCCGAAATTTTCTCGGACTCATTCTCCCATACTCCTCATTCTTGTACTTCCTTGCCTGAAAAATTTCCTCGTTATATGAACTTCGACGATGTCCATTGCTTGTCGCTTATAGTTTACTTCGCTTATTCTATTCCCTCTTGACCATAAGGGTATTCTCACCAAACTTGTTAGCATCGAATAGCTTTGACTGGCTACTCGTCCTCTTAATTCCCTCGCTAGGGTGATGGAATAAAAATTTCGATTCCACTTATTGGTCCAGCTTAGTCAATACTTGTTGTTGGACTTTAAATCAAAGTCGAGGTATCACATTTCCTCCCCTCCCCCCCCCCCCCCCCCAAGAAAAATTTCCACCACGAAATTTGTTGATCCTGACTTCTCCAAGCCTTATTCTTAATTTCATCTATCTCGTTTGAGTGACTCCTCCTTTCCAAAGCTTGTTATCGACCTTCTTGAAGATTTATCGGGTTCCTTAAGAACTATTCTAATTCCTCTTTATATGCCCCCCCAGTGTTACTTAAGCTCGATGCTTGCAAACGCAACAAACCTTCCTTGCATCCTTTCTTCTAGATTATGGCACCATTTGTCGTACACATTGGCTACTTCCTGTCGATGTATTAGATACTTGGCATCTTCCTGATCCTTATTCTGATCAGCTCGCATCCCTGTAGGATATGAGCCACCTTGAATCTCCTCTTCTAACTCGTGAAAGGGTTTCACTAAACAATCCCCCTCCTTAGGAATCTCCGCTTCTCCTTAGACATATCATCGTCCTCCAGGCCTAATAGAGTTATTTCCTAATCATGATTAGAGTATATTGGAGATTCTAAAACACACACACTGGAAGGGGACCAGTCCAAGGGCACATAGCTAGAGTCATGAAAACACACACACTGGGTGAAAGAACCATAGTTCCATGTCTACAATCCAAATGAAAAAGAGAGAAAGAAAAAAAAAACGACAGTGAGTCTCAGTCTTGAAAGGAAAGGAAGTACATAACCCTCACAACCCCACTAGAACACATAGCCACCATCGCCTGTAGGAAGTGGGTAGTCGTCCTCGTGCCCAGGTGACTGCACAAAGGGGTAGTGGACCGAGTTCTGGTCCAGGCCTAGGTAATGCATGATGTAGTGCTGGCAGGACATGAGACGGCGGCCGCGGTCCTGCTCACGATCGAGGCGGGCGTGGATGTTCTCCTAGCCGGCTAGAATTTGCTCGTTCTGACGACCAATGGCCGCTAACTGCTCAGTAACAGAGATCGCGGGGGCGGCGTCAGAAGGAACCGTGGGGTCCTGGGCACGGCTGGCAGGACGGCGGGGACCGCATCGTGCCCTAGAAGCACTCGATTCCGGCCGGTCTGCCCTGGCAGGAGCAGGCACAGGTGGCCTACGGAGACCCGCGATCCATGTCAGAGGCCCCTCACGCTCGAGCAAATGCTGATGTCGGAGAGTAGCCTCGCTGAAGGGGGTCGCGGCGCGGATCATGGTCATGCCAGTACTGTCGATCCCATAGTAGCGAGCCAGGGATATGATCACCGGGCCATAGACAAGATAGCAATCCCGACTGGCGAAGGCCTTGGTGAATGTGCAAGCGACAATAGAGCCTAGCTCTATAGTTTCCTCCTCCAGTCCCATCGCATGCATGAAGTACAACGTCCGGAGGGTGACCCGGTTGGCAGAGCCCCAACTAATAGTGTAAGACTATGTGAGTAGGTGGTTAAGGATCCGCCACTCCAGACGGAGTAGAGTGGCCCACGTCTGGCTGGGTATACGTACTCCTCATACAAGTTCTCGGGGAGGCAGATGTGCTCGTAATAAGCTTGGTCAGGAAATGAGGTGGGTTTAGTCTCTTCCACGACCAATGCACGACCTCTGGAGTGGGGGGAGTTTAGACCAAGTGCAGTGGCCAACTCCCAGTAACTGACGCAGTGCTCGACCACGTCGAGTGTGCAACGAATGCCGTCAACATGGTCAACCGACTTCCTCTGTGAATGGGAGAAGGAAGCGTAGAACTCCCAAACGAGCTCCAGATAGGTCGGCTCAGCGAGGCAGAGGAGGTGCCTCCAACCATAGGCACGAACAATGACCTCCATCTCTCTGCGAGCGTGGAGCGCCTCGAACACCCCAAAGTCCAGATGCAGGTGCTCGGAGATATGGCGGGTGCTGATGGTCCGCAGGTGGTGGCGCTGAGTAATGCTTAAGAGGTCCAGGTAGTCCTCCATGATCTTGCAAAGCATCAGAAAGCACAAATGCCACACAGCGCAGTGGGTTAATGTTAGGCAAAACCACACCAGGAGCCCTCAAATCGAAAGATTTGGAAAGTGGACTAGGCTCCCGGTGGAACAAACAAGCAAACCAACCCCAAATAACCATCTGATCGGCCATTCACCTAGCAATTTCCAACCAAGCATACAAGGGCACAATTCTAGACAAGCAATTGGTAGGCCGGCAAAACTAATTCAGGGGAACAATAATTTCAAGCATACAACTCCGTCGGCCTACCAAAATGATCTAAGTTCAGGTCAAAATCTCAAGTTCTTCACCTATAACCCTAGGTATCAATTCTCCAAAATTGACCAAGATAAAACGAGAAACACACCTGGAGACGCAAGTAGATACCACAAGGAACAGGAAGGGAAAAACAAAAGCACTACAAAATCGCCGGAGAACTCGCCGCTGGCGACCCAACCTCCGCCAAACTGGACTAAACTTCTGGAGAATGTGCTCCCCGACGCCAGGAGCGTAGTGGTGGTCTCGGTTTTAGATTTGGAGATCGGGGGAGAGGTTTTGGCCGGAAAACCACCGGGGGAGAGGAGAGGCACGATTTTCCGGCGAGATGAGGGAGAGTGTTTTTTGAAAAAATGAAATCTGGGTGGAGAAGGGCCGGATTTCGCTTTTTATTGGGGGGTAAAAACACGAGCGGGCCCAGAACACGATCGTGTTTTTACTGTCAAGGCGCGGCTCCCCCTTTAGCAGAATACGGGCGTACAGGGGTCGAAACACGGGCGTGTTTTCAACCCCTGGCGCCCGTGCTTTTTATTGCGAGGCTGCGCAGGGTGAAGGACCAAAATTGGGCGGACATGGGAAGAAACACGGTCTTGTTTTCAATCCTTGGCGCCCGTGTTTTTACTGCCGAGCCTGCCTCTACACAATTTCAAAACCACGATTTCGAACAACCAAACATCATTCGTGTCCCGGCTCAAAAAATGCGCAGCCACAGATGAAAACAGACTGCCCTGGGTACGAGATACTTTCCAGACAGACTCAATGGCTCAAAAAACTCGACAAAATCGACAAGAAAAGAGGGAAAGAAATGCAAACCGTGGTGGGGTTGCCTCCCCACAAGCGCTTCTTTATCGTGTTTTAGCTGGACGCCCATGGCGAAATTAAGGATCCACGAGGTCAATTACCAACTCCGCACGTTCGATGATAGACCAATAATTACACATGTTTTTACCCCTATTCTTGAGCCTTTTGAGAGGTTGACTCTCGTGTTTAAGCCGATTTCACGCGAGGTTGTGTGTTTATGTCATATTTCAGGACCCGGCGTTGGAATCGAGGCGAGGGAACGAGTTTTGGGTCGAAAGGAGCGAAGTTGGGTTGAAGTGTGCTGCAGGTGGAAAATACCCGGTCGAGGGCTCAAATACCCGACCGGGTATTTATTGTTTTGGCACCCGTGAGAAACAGAGGGGGGCCCGGGCTGGAGGCACAAAATCCCCGACCGGGGATTATTGGATGAGACCGGGGATTTTCCCCTGGCACGAAACGCGCGTTTTAATAATACCCGGTCGAGACCCAAAATACCCGACCGGGTATTTCGACCGGGTATCGCGACAGGCAGCTGTTTTAAAGGAAAAGAAGGCCAAAGATCAAGGGGATTGGAGTTTTGAGGGAGATAGAGCGATTCCTAGAGAGAGAAAGCGATGAACAAGAGTCTCCAAGTGCCCTAGCTTGATCTTCATCGCCATTGGAGCTTGGCTTGAGCTTGGAGAAGTGCCGATCAACGTCCAGGAGCAGGAATCCATCCTTCACAGTATGAATTCCGCGTCTGATTCTGCTTTCACTTCTTTCTCCATGGAGTAGTTCTCCCATTCATCTGGGTATGGAGAACCCTAGATTTGTATGTTAGGTTTGATTGTATGAACCAAAGTATTGATTCTATGAATTGATTATATTCAATTGAGGTTTGAATGATTGAATGGCATGAATCCTTATCAAATTCCTGTTGTTTCTGCTTTAACCTAGAATGAGAATATCTGCCTAGGTTGATAGAGCATCCTTGATTGAAGGTAGGGAGTTGGTGACTTTAGTCGAGGAGCCAATTCACTATTCTGTACCGAATTCACTTCGATAGTGGAGGTTTTGTTCGTAGGGCCTCAATCAGTTTACTCCGGTGGAGGTTAGTCGCCCGCTAGAGACTCAGATTGAGAGGGTCTGGAGACCTTTAGTCGAGACTTCAGGCTGTTTAAGAACCTTCCGCAGTATAACTATCATAGAAACTGAACTTGGTAATTGCAATCCGGCTTAACTGCAGTCTAGGGGGAACCATATCCGGGTGACCTCTCTTAACCTGAATACAACCGTTTAGTTGCTTTGCTTATTTGTTAGTTTAGACTTGCATTAAAGTTTCATTGCTAGATAACAAGAATTCACCGAGTAGTCATCAAATCTAGGACCCGGGTTGACATTTAAACCCAAACCCGCTATACTACACTTTAGGAAGTAGTTTCACTTGGCCAATTCCTAGAGTGACAGTAGAAGTGAGTCATTCGACCTCAAATCCCAATAGAGCTTGAGACGATGGCCATTCACTTTAAACGGCTTAGTCTGCGGGTTGGCAATCTCGATCATGCCATACGAGAACACCTGCGTGACCGTGAACGGTCCAGACCACCGGGAGCGGAGTTTTCCAGGAAAGAGTTTCAGGCGAGATTTATAAAGAAGAACTCGATCGCCAACCTGAAACTCCTTCGGACCCTTCAATGGAGCGTCGTGAAGACGCTTAGTTTGCTCCTTATACAACTTGGTGTTTTCATAAGCGTGGTAACACCATTCCTCCAGCTCCAGCATCTGCAATTTTCGTGAAGCACCTGCAAGACTAACATCCAAGTTGTGCTCTAGCTCCACTGGCAAGTGACATGCCTTTCCATAGACAAGCCGATAAGGTGAAGTACCAATTGGCGTCTTGTAGGCAGTCCGGTATGCCCAGAGAGCATCATCGAGCTTGGTGGGTCAATCCTTGCCAGATGGATCCACTATTCTCTCTATTATGCGCTAAACCTCCTGATTCGTCAGCTCGACCTGACCACTCATTTGGGCTGGTAGATCACAGACACCTTCTAGGTGACACCATAGCAAGAGAGTAATTTATCGAACTGGCCCTAGAAATGGGTCCCTCTGTTGCTAATGATGGCCCGAGGTGTCCCGAACCAGGAGAACAACTGCTTCAGAAACTGGAAACCCCTCTAGCATGCCCAGGAGGGGATATTCTTACTAAGACTCCACCCGAACTGAACCAGATGATCAATACCTTGGCTGCCAGAGATCATTCTTGGGGGCAGAGCAGTAGAGGCAGACATTCACGAGAGCGTGGTGTGCACGCCATGGAGACCAGATCCGGGCTCGAGCAGCAGGTAGCTGAGTTAGTGCAGACATTGAAGCAGCCCAACAGTCTTATTCCGGGCAGAGGTTTGGCTACACCTCTAGTAGCTCAATGTCAGTGGTGTGAGAGCTCAAATCACCTAGTGAAAGACTGCCAGGCTATGAGGGAGTCGACTACTCCCCAAGAGCAGTTGGACTTCATCGCCAATGCTCGGCGCCTCGACCCGTACAGCAACACATATAATGAGGGGTGGCGCCAGCATCCCAATTTCGCCTGGAGCAGCAACACCACTAAACCACCTGGTTTCCCAGCACCAGCCGGTGGTTTTCAGCAGGGGCAGCCTTTCCAGGCTAGACAGGGGCCAGCCCCACAGCAACAGCCCTACCCGCCTAGGCAGGGGCAACCATTCCAGCAGCCCCAGCGTCAGTATGTCGAGCCAGCAGCAGCTCCTGCTCCAGATAATCAGATAACAAAGCTGGAAAATATTCTAGCTTCATTCATGACTAGCACTCAGGCAGCTATCATGAGGTTAGACCAGAGCGTAGCCTCACTGGAGGCAGGTCAGAGGAACCAAGGTGCCATCTTGCAAGATCTGCAGACCCAGGTGGGTATCTTGGCCCGCCAAAACACTACCAGGGCACCGGGGACTCTGCCTGCCACCACTATTCCGAATCCTCGTGATCCTCACCAGCACCAGCAGCTGGATGCCATTTTTACCAGGAGCGGTAAGACCATATCTGCTGATCCTGTCCCGGCCAGACAGGAGGAACCACTACCTGCTTCAGCACTTCCAGCCGATGATGCAGAAGTGCGGGTGGAGAAGGAAGCCCCTGCTCCCAAGCCACAACCAGCGGTTAAGGAGCATGTGCCCCAGCTTCCCTTCCCCACTCGCCTACACAAAGACAATCTGGAGACTGAGTTTGCCAAGTTTATGGCAATGTTGAAGCAGCTCAACATCAGCATACCATTCGTGGAGGCATTGTCGAAGATGCCCAAGTATGCCAAGTTCATGAAAGACCTCCTCACCGACAAGAAGAAAATTGGGGATCTTTCGACAGTGATGCTCAGTGAGGAGTGTTCTGCTATCATGAAGAACAAGCTGCCCGAAAAGCGCAAGGACCCAGGGAGTTTTACTATCCCTCTTACTATTGGCAGCATGCATGTAGGCAAGTCCTTGGCAGACCTAGGCGCTAGCATAAACGTCATGCCATATAAGTTGTATAAAAAGCTAGACCTAGGTGAACTTAGGCCTACTAGGATGAGCATTCAGCTAGCTGATCGTTCCATTGTGCATCCTAGGTGAATCGTAGAGGATCTGCTGGTTAATGTAGGTGCATTCACATATCCTGTTGATTTTGTTATTCTTGATATACATGAGGATGTGGACGTGCCTTTGATTCTAGGTAGACCATTTCTTGCCACCGCCAAGGCACTAATTGATGTGCATGATGGTAAACTGATCCTGCGTGCTGGGAATAAACAGGCTACTTTCTCTGTGACTGAATTCGATCACTGTGCTATGATTGTTGTCACACCTGTGCATGCCATTTCTGATCAGGTACACGAGTCTGTCGTGTATCCTTCTGCATCTCCCATTTTGCAGGAGCCTCCTATCATTCCTTCGCCGCCACTCCGTCCAGTCTCGCCTCCGAACAAAAAGATCAAGGAGGAGTGGCGGCCAAAGCAGCAGGGTGCTAAGCCTGCACGGAAGAAGGGTGGAGGCCACTACGAGCTGGCTCCACCCCCTACACCACGACCACCCTGGATGTCCGGGTACTCACTCGCCTGCATCTTGCCGGATGGCCAGGTCGAGCTGACCGATGATGGTGGTCGCATCCGTCGGGTGCATGACCACAACCTGAAGCTGTACCTCAAGAGCGACGTGGATCCGCTCTTGGAGGCACCTGTTCCTGCACCTCCCTGAGTATCCACCATTGGCGTCCAGCTAAAAGACGGTAAAGAAGCGCTTGTGGGGAGGTAACCCCACCACGGTTTTACTTTCTTTCTTGTGTTTTGAGTCGGATTGTAAACCGGTTTGGTTTTGGTTTGTTTTCTTTTGTTTTGGATGATGTATTATTGGGTTGACCATTGGCCCTAACATATTGTGTTTGAGCTCTTTGGTTTCCTTTAGCTGTGCTTGTCTTGACTGGTCCTCTCTCTAGTGCGCTCACTCCGACTGGTCCGCTTCAAGTCTCCTGCAGTCCGTGCATACCGGTAACATCGTTCCCCTTTTCCCTTCTCTCTTCTCCATTGAGGGCAATGTCGATCTTAAGTGTGGGGGGATGTTTATCTTTCGACTGCATTAGATCTGTTTGTGTGCTTGGAGCCTAGTCCACTGTCCAAATTTTTAAATTTGAGGGCTCCAAGTACGTGTTCCGTGCAATTGCCTGCTCAGTATGCTTTGAATTGACAGTCTTTATAGTAATATGCAACCTAGGGAGGTAGTGTAGCACTATGGAGGATGTTGATGCATTTAAGAAATCTCATTTCTTCTTCATATTGTGTTGGTTGATTGAGTGAATTAGTGATCTTAGGACCCTTGAATTGTGTGGTGTTGTGGACTCTCTACCTATCATGGACTCTTGTTTCATGTTTTGAGTTTAACAGGTGCTCAAAAATGTGCTTTAAAATAACGTCTCCCGTGCGAATAGGGCGAAAGTGTGTAAGGGGAGACGGGAATTCGTTCCCGATTTCCACCTACTACCTCCAGCCCCCTTACATGTGTTTCCCCCGCACGAGGCTCGAGACATCCGCTCATGGCATGGCCGGTAAGAGCCGGGGCTCCCGCAAAACCTCTGCAAGGTGGGAGCCCCCATTTTCTGAAAAGTAGGTTGGGACCCTTGAAAAAAAAAGTGAAAAAAAATCAGAAAACAAGCAAAACATAAAGAAAAGGGGTTCCAACCGTCTTCAAGAAGAAAATAGAGCACCTTAAAAAGGTGAGTCCATGATCTTTTGTTTTTGAGAGTCTATTCGTCCATGATTCATTTGTCCTCTGCTCACAATTTGCCATGATGCCGACTCGAGACTAGCGTTCTCGCCGAAGAAGTCATGAGATGACTTGTGCGTCGGTTGACCTCGTAAGTTGCTAAATGATCTAGGAAATCCTCTACCTATGATCGGGGTTGTTGGTTGCTATAGAGGTCTGGAGAGTTGCATTGATTTGAGTTAGGTTTGCTTGGGGACAAGCAAACGGTTAAGTGTGGGGGAGTTTGATAGACCAATAATTACACATGTTTTTACCCCTATTCTTGAGCCGTTTGAGAGGTTGACTCTCGTGTTTAAGCCGATTTCACGCGAGGTTGTGTGTTTATGTCATATTTCAGGACCCGGCGTTGGAATCGAGGCGAGGGAACGAGTTTTGGGTCGAAAGGAGCGAAGTTGGGTTGAAGTGTGCTGCAGGAGGAAAATACCCGGTCGGGGGCTCAAATACCCGACCGGGTATTTATTGTTTTAGCACCCGTGAGAAACAGAGGGGGGCCCGGGCTGGAGGCACAAAATCCCCGACCGGGGATTATTGGATGAGACCGGGGATTTTCCCCTGGCACGAAACGCGCGTTTTAATAATACCCGGTCGAGACCCAAAATTCCCGACCGGGTATTTCGACCGGGTATCGCGACAGGCAGCTGTTTTAAAGGAAAAGAAGGCCAAAGATCAAGGGGATTGGAGTTTTGAGGGAGATAGAGCGATTCCTAGAGAGAGAAAGCGACGAACAAGAGTCTCCAAGTGCCCTAGCTTGATCTTCATCACCATTGGAGCTTGGCTTGAGCTTGGAGAAGTGCCGATCAACGTCCAGGAGCAGGAATCCATCCTTCACAGTATGAATTCCGCGTCTGATTCTGCTTTTGCTTCTTTCTCCATGGAGTAGTTCTCCCATTCATCTGGGTATGGAGAACCCTAGATTTGTATGTTAGGTTTGATTGTATGAACCAAAGTATTGATTCTATGATTTGATTATATTCAATTGAGGTTTGAATGATTGAATGGCATGAATCCTTATCAAATTCCTGTTGTTTCTGCTTTAACCTAGAATGAGAATATCTGCCTAGGTTGATAGAGCATCCTTGATTGAAGGTAGGGAGTTGGTGACTTTAGTCGAGGAGCCAATTCACTATTCTGTACCGAATTCACTTCGATAGTGGAGGTTTTGTTCGTAGGGCCTCAATCAGTTTACTCCAGTGGAGGTTAGTCGCCCGCTAGAGACTCAGATTGAGAGGGTCTGGAGACCTTTAGTCGAGACTTCAGGCTGTTTAAGAACCTTCCGCAGTATAACTATCATAGAAACTGAACTTGGTAATTGCAATCCGGCTTAACTGCAGTCTAGGGGGAACCATATCCGGGTGACCTCTCTTAACCTGAATACAACCGTTTAGTTGCTTTGCTTATTTGTTAGTTTAGACTTGCATTAAAGTTTCATTGCTAGATAACAAGAATTCACCGAGTAGTCATCAAATCTAGGACCCGGGTTGA